CTTTTTTACGCGAATGTATATATTTTTTTCTACTGTAATAATATAACCTTAAAGTGACCTGAAATTTTAAATCGAACGTGAAAGTTCCTTTCATTTTTTGTTATTTCTTCTGTAAATTATGTTTTTCCAAATTTTATTTCTTTTTTTCAAAGTCATCTATGGTTTTCTATATAAATGTGTATATATTTTTCTATTGTATGTTGTAGCAGACGCTGATATGCATTTAAAACGACCTTGGATTCTAAAATTTTTAATCAAATGTGAAACTTCCATTCACTTTTTGCCATTTCTTCCATCAAAAAAATTTTGTAACAGACGTTGATGTGTATTTAAACATGCACGATGATATAACCTTAAAGTAACCTTAGACGCTACAATTTTAATCAAACGTGAAACTTCCTTTCATATTTGGCCATTTAATCCATCGAAAAAATTTTTCTCTCATCTTACTCACGCTCTGAAACCATTTAAATTACGTATAAAAATTTTCTCGTACTACCATAGAGTACCGAAGATAATTAGGTGGTCTGTTTTACGTAGCCCACACTGTATATATAAAAACATAAAATTTAAATTCTAATAAAAAGACGTAAATAATTTTTAAAAAATTAGATAAATATAATTAAAAGATTAGATACATTAAACACTGCTCGTTGTATTTCTTTTTTTAATTATTCATGTCCTCCCGTCGGATCTAAATTTTGATCCATTTTCCCGTTAGCACAGTAACGATTCTAATAAAAGGATTCACGTTTTGTTTGACTAACTCCAATGAATCTTCGCAGGTTCGTGGTGTCGATATCAAAAAGCTGCAGAGATAAATTAAGACACGGATATCTATTTTTTCTGGTCTCTTTGAATGGCGGGAAAAAAAGGAAAAAAGTGAGTCGAGTAGGAAAAGTAGCGTAGGCGAGACACATCAACAAGGACACACCTATAACAGGGAAATTCGATGTCGTATCCTAATTGGCGTTTATAGTACACAAGGGTGCCATGCCTCACCTCTTGTTATATCGTCTCTATAATGAGCCACGAGAAATCGGAGAATCATTAGGCGTCGAAACGAGACTTTTCTTTCGCTTTTTCATTTCTTCTTTTTTTTTTTCTTTCGTTTATTTACTCCACAATTTTCGTCGACCTCACTTCGTCGTTAGCTCATGTTTAAGTACGTATACGTCGTTCTAATAGTATCTATTATAACGTATATTATTTATTTTTAATAGTGAAACAAAAAAATTAGAAGTCTTTTATAAATGGAACACCTTATAGATATTTATTATTTCGATTATTCATTTCGCGAAGTATCGAATTAAAAATCGACAACTTCAGAATGTTTCTAACCTTTTCGATCGAATTTTATCCCATATTTGCTGGATGGAAGATATTTTCATGATGTGCGTATTTTAAATGAAAGAATAATGCTGCTGGAGGTGGAAGACGAGACACGCGATTTTATAACCGTATATAAGAAGGATTTCCCAACGAAAAAAACCGATAGACGGAAAGAATACAGGCCACCACTTAACTATCTTCCACCGTTGAATATTTTGAACGGTCCTTATAAGAGGTGCTTGAATACGCAACGACAAAATGCGATTTTACCTTTAAGCGAACAGAGCGAGGATCCCCAAGAGACTTTGAACAGAGTAAAGAAGTAACAACGATTTACATTAATAATTATTCCACTCGCGATACACCGTAATGTATGTATAAATGTTTCCCTCTGCTGCAATGTCTGTGAATACCGTTTGTACGCAACAGACGTATTAATTTCTTTAATGTAATTCATTGTAAAATTCAAGATTATTAAATTACGCTTGAGACAAAAATGTTGAATATATTTTAATGCGTTTTATACGATCTATAGATTCGCGACGAACATTCACGTTTAAGAAGATTTTTACCAGAAGTTGTACCAGATGAAGATCTGATCGAGCGGAAAGAAAATGAAGTTAAACAAACTATATATCAATTGGATTATTCAAAAGGTTTTAGTATCTGAAAAATTAAATGGTAATTTAATTGATAGGGTTTATATTAATATATAAAATTTGGTAATACTAGGTGATTATTCACCACGTGTGAAAATATACGGAAGAGAAAAAGATATTCAGTTGCCGGAATATTGGATTATATCGGAAACAATTCAAAAGAAATCCTATAAGAACCCGTGGCAAATTGCAACGGAAGATTTGTTACGCGTAAAAAGAGCAATAAAGCCTCCAGACAATTTGACACCGAATATAAAGGAAAGAGAAATTCTTCGTATCAGGTAAAAAGGCAGAATTACAATATTTTTTTCTTTAATGTTGATAAGTACTACTCATTGATGTAAAAATACAGTCAAGATTAAACCACCATAAGTAACAAAGTATACTTTTTTTTGTGAAATTTTAGTAATTATACACATAACTTTTATTATAAAAATTCCTTAATACTAATTTTACGTCTATCTCGTCATACTTTTTTTCCTTTCAGAACCGGAGATTCAGAATACGATGCCACAATAGATGCTGTAGGAAATCGAGTGATAAAAAGACGTCTATTTGGACCACCTTTACCAATCGAACCAAAAATATACAGTAAAGGACCTGATAGTCCACCATCTGAATGTTCTAAAATTTTAGCAGAAAAGAAACTTGTACTTCCATCTAGTATTTTTTAGTTTTTCCTTGTACGAAAGTAATATAACAGAAACAGTTCAAATGTTAAAAACTGTTATTTTTCTGTTTTGAATTTATCTTCCTAGCTAGAAAATTACTTTTAGCAAATACTTAACAAAACTAACAAAGAATTGTAGGTAAAGGTTTACGCTAATTAAATCAACAGATACAAGTTATTACAAAACACAACCCGTGTTGTTTTGCTTGTACATAATTACTTTACAAATATATTATTTCCTATTTTCACCCAACTTAATTATCAATTTACAATTGTTCGCATCCACTTTGGACACACAGTATCGTATTTCACGTAAATCTTTCTCACATTTATATTCTTACAATTATTTACAGGTTTATCTATCGTAAATCTGTTTTACAAAATATTTATATACGAACGTAACTTTTTCTTTCCTCTTTTTTTTCATTTTTACACTCGTAAAAGGAGACACCTACTCCGTATATCAATGAAGAAATATTCAATTACGAAAAAAATTAAACATATTACTTTTTGTTTCCTTTTTGAACATCTCCTAGACTTAACATTCAGAACTTTAGAAAAGTGTCATTTTTCAATAATAATACGTACACAGAAAGTATATACTTGGTTAAAAAATAGTGCAAAATTATTATAATAAGCTTAGCATATACTTGTTCGCATACGTATCGAAATAAAGTAATGATTACTTTTTCAAAAGTTCTGCAAGTCTATGATCGAACATGTAAAATCGAATTATTTATTAGAATAAATTTCGAAACATTTCGACAACCATTTGAATAGATTACACGTTACGTAGCCTCCTTCGATCAGCCAAAATAGTTAACATTTCAAGATTAAACTTGTTATTTACATAAGCCACTGCATGAAATATGAGTAACTTTTTGTATTCTTAACAATTAACTATACTTTATAAAGCTTTCCTTTAGATTAAATTAATTGTACTTGCACTTAAAATTGTACAAAAAGTCTTATCGGTGCACACTCTCGGTATTTTGTTCATTCTTCATTGTAATGGAAGTTAACGTTATAAAATTTAATCTAAAAATGGTACCCAGCACGTAACAATAAATTATATAGTTCAGTCTCTCAATCGAATGTATCGATACGATTTATATAAAAATTTATACATTTTCAAATCATAGATTCGATATGTTATACTACAAACCCCTTTTATGTACACAAAATATTTCACGTTGTTTATGACTAAGCAATGATCTTTCTTTCATCAAAATGTTATGATACGAAACTATCTAGTCCCCAATCCAGTTTCCCATGATACCGCGGCATGATACTATGCAATAGTGTTATCAAGTCTGTGTTAGGTTACACACAAAGAAAAGCTAAAAAAATATAAGACGTAAACATTATCGCAATCGTAATATGTACAACTTTGATGATTCTTCACAGCATCTTGTCTTCAAAAAACTATGCTTGCACTATATCTCGTATTGAGAAGCATACTATTTACAAAATGTTCTTTTGAAGATTAATACAAACATATATAGCATTTCATCATTGACACACTTTCCTTTCCCACTTATTTTTTCATATATCACCGCCCCATCTAATTTAAATATTTATCTACATTAAGCAGTTGTTTGAGGTAACAATATCATCTTCAGAGATCATATCTTGAAGAGGAATACCTTGTTTCTGTAAGAGATGTTTAAATATGTATATAACATTGATTCATTCCAGAATCCAAGTGTCTGACAATGTAGTGGGAAAAAACATTTATACTTACTTCAATGACTATGGTGGAGGCCATATTGTCTGTGTCGTGATACTGTACACCTACATTTGCTGCTGCTATTGCTATAGTACGAACGGTATTGGTGCTGGTCGAAGTTGTGATGTGCTGGGTAATCATGGAGTTTTCGTTTGTTCTATTGGAACCATTACACTCTTATATGCGTAAAATAATAAATGAGACATTGTACTTGTTTTTGAAAAACAAAAATCATAAGAAAAAGCTATAAACTGAAACTTACTTTCGCTTTTTTACTTGACCGGAATGAAAACGACCACCTTCACCGCGAATTCTGTTCATTGCATGTCGATGGCGAGACTCGTGGAGGTACTTCTGCAAAAGAAAATAAACTTAATATAAAACAAATAATAAAATATAATATTAAATAACGATTAATTAAACATAAACTTACTGGTCTTTCCTTAGGTATCTTTCCTTCTGCTTCTAATTTAGCACGGGCTTGACGTCGTTTTAATATACGCCTGTACTGTTTTGCATTTACATATAAAGGCTCTTCTTCAAAAACTTCTGCATTTGGCAATGCTACCCTCTGAAATTGTGTCTGTCCACTATTTCCTGGCACCATCTAAAGAACCCACAATTACAAACATAAATAATCAAATATCTTGACAAATATATTAATCTATATTAGTTTTACATATTTATATTATATTAAATATTCCGATTTTCACATGATAAATTGAAAAGACATGGTGTTGTCTATAATGTTGCTCCATAATCACTACAAGTCAGTATAATGTATACACAGACTATGTAAGTGAAAGAGACACTTTGACAGTAATCACCATGACAACATTTCCTGCCTGAGACGCTGTTGCTGTAGGACTTGCTAAAGGTTGTACTGGTGTTGTGGTTGCTGCAGCAGCTGTGGTTTGCGACGTTGTCCCAGCAATTTGCATGAGGTTCCCATTAATATTGATGACTACACATAAATACAGAATTAAAATATAAACTTTATAATTACACAAATGAGCAAGCTATATATATTTCTATACCTGTTGGTTGTGCTTGCTGAACTTGACCTTCAAGTTGAACTGGCTGATAAATGTATGTTTGCCCATCTGGAGTTTGAATGATTTGTGGTGTTTGTGGCTGTTGAATTACAATTTGTTGACCTGTACTAGTTAAACTAGATACTGGAACAACTTGTATTTGTCCATTTGGCGCTGCAACTTGTATCGCTTGTGGCAACATCATCGCTTGACCTCCTTGACCCATTTGGACAACTTGGACGGTTCCTCCTGCACTACCAACCACAACTGCTTGTCCTTCTCCCAGCTGCTCCATTGTAAATTTTTCCTATTACTAAAAAAAAAGACATTGATTTTACAACACAAAAAAAACAGCACATTTACACTGAAAAATAAGTGCACAAAGAGCTAATCATAGATTCTACAATGGAAAAAATAAGTTTATCGCAATAAAAATGACTATACACACGTACAAACAACACAAGGAAGAATTTATATATACACATGAAATCATATATAGCATACTTGTATGAATCATGTACAAAAATGCTCCCTTTTGTTGGCAGAATAAAGATAAATAAATCTAACATATGAAAAGATTAGAGTCTCAATGAGAATTGTAATTCTACTAAACGCAATTCGCGCCTAACGATCATTGATAAAGATCGCCAACGTGGCGAGCACATTGGGGTCTGAGAACCCACGTGCAGAACGTTAGATACGTAGAAGTGAGAATCGAGGCCAGGCAGCAATCATCACCTTCTGTCAGGCACAAATCGCTTCCGAAGGATGTTGCATCCTGTTCTCGATGGCATGATTAATCTGGTATCCTCGTGATCCTTAACACGCGCCGAACGAGAACGTACGAAACGAAGACCAAGTTGTGCGTATAGTATACCGAACGCGATATACTCGCCATGGAACGACGCGGATTTCGGACGAGAAACGCTTGTCTCGACAAACATGGCCGTGCAGAAAGACTTTTTCAAGCACGAGAAGACACGGGTTCGCAGTTGGAACAGCTCACAAAACGAAAACGCGGTTAATCGTACAACCGTGCGCGGTCGTACGCGTACCCCGTTGATGTTTGATAATTTGTGGACTTACATTGGATATTTTCGTGGGCACTTTCCCAATGATTGGTCGGCAAATTGAGGACCAATGGTCGGCGATAGAGAGTCCTCGGCTCTTGTGTATTGGTGGCACTGAACGGGGGGACCTGCCAGTCCGATAGCAGCCCGATGCCAGACCGGTCGATGCCCCTCCGCGCCTCGACGCGCCTAACCAATCTACTGTCTTGACTTATCCCCACCACTTACTTCCCGCGCTCTCATCAAACTTCGCGCGTTCCTAACAGCTTATTTCCCGCTTCCTTTTAAATCGATTTATCAATGCACCATCCACGATGATCGCCGTCAATTCTGTAGGATTTTTCTACCGGGTTGTTAGATAAAATTTGCAGACAACAAAAAAATAAGTCGCTCAGTTAAATCTAGATTTATAATCAAAAGTAAATAACCTGCTGAATGAGTTAGTTCAAGATCGAAAGTTCTGTACATTGGAATCCAGTGGAATATGAAAATTAAAGGAACATGAAATTCTTTAAGACAGTACAATGAAATACGGAATAACCAGAAGCATTTTCAATTTTTTAATATTTATATTTAGCTTTGATAACAAAGTAGTTCATTTTTATAATTGCAATAAGCTCTAGTTAATAGTGTAACAAATGCAGTTTATACAACGTTTAGCCATCATTTATTGCTGACTATAATTATTTTTATTTAATTTGTTATTCACTTATAATTTTAAAAAAATATAAAATTAACAAATTTTGATAAAAACAATATGTATTAACTGGCAATTATTAAATAATATAACATTAATAATAGAACTAATTCATATAAATATCACAAATATACGTCTGAATTAGGAATTTACTTTTGTTTTTGGCATTATAAAAACATCTTCCTTTAGTACAAATTTTAAAAAGATAAAAATGTGCACATTGATGAAAAAATATACTTTAATATAAGTACTGAAAAATGTTGCGGGTGTTCATGAATGTTGTTTGTTACTGAATCTACATGTTATCTATCATGTTTAGTAATGCTATTAATTTATAAGAAACGTTTTCATTAAAAATCGATAATTTAACAGTGCTGGTAAAAAGCTGAAAAAATTATTTATTCATCCAATATGACTTATTTTTGTAATTTATAAGTGCAAAAAACTATAAACCTATGGTATGATTGCATTTATTAAATTATAACAAAATAGCCCTTGTATATTGGTTTCTGATATACACCTTAGTGAAGATTAATAACAGTGTATTAACTTTTTACAGTATTGTATATAAATTATGGAAAAGCACTACCAAATTCAGTTTTTTCATGAGAAACTGGTCATTTGGAAATATCTTAACTTGTAACATTTTGAAACAACTTTGTATATTCAGAAATTGTCAAGCCGTTTTAACATCTTGTTATTAAGAAATAGTACCTGAACTTTCATCTATAATACACCACATTATAATGCTTAATCAATATTTATATTCAAGTAAATTCTGAAGTAAATTCAGACTTAGATTAACTTATTGAAAATTCATTTTGGAAAGATGCATGTTTTCTTTAATGTCATGTAATACAGTCATTTCACTCAAGCAAGATGTAATCTTACTGAGGAAATGCTAAAAGATTACGATAAGAAAGGAACTACTAAATCCTCTTTGTGTTCAACTTTTACATCCCCTAATGCTGACACAGCCTTATTGAGCATTTCTGTAATCTACAAATAAAATTTATGTAATTATTTAACACATTATGACCATTTAATGTAATAATACTACTTTGTATCATATGTAAGTGTATATTTACCAGCCCATGATCTCCAGAAGCAAGAGGTTCTGCTGCTAATATTTTCTCTGGAGCAGAAATATCTTTCAGTAGACAAGATGTACTATCAGGGACTTTAATACCTCCAGCTTCTATACGTTTAGAATATGCACGTGATCTATCCATATATTCATGTTGCTCCAAATTATGTGAATCTAATGCTCCAACATCTATCACATTACTGAAATTAAATGTTTTAATATAGCAAACTGCTTCTTCCTTAATGCAGATATAAAAGTGCAACATAAATATAAAACACAAGAAAGGCAAAGAAACACTCACGCCGCTGTTTCATGTAAAATTCTATTTAATGCACTTTGTTCATCTGTTTTCTTGGGTGCTGAGCTTGCATATTGATTAACATAATCATCACTGGAAGAAAAAGAAATAAAGAAGCTTTGGCAAATTTCATTTCATGCTATAACAAAAAATATATACAAAAGATATCATGATGTACCTGTGTACTCTGGGTATGTTTGTGTTATTGCTGACAGGATCCACCAACAAGTGTGTCCTTTCATTTACTTCTCCACTCTACAAAAACAAAGAACCAGAACAATGATATTAAATATTTTGATTAATTTAAATAAAATATACATTATAGTATAAATATTGAGGAATTTTTATAAACATAATTCATATGTAAATGTTAATTATTCTGCATTTATACTGCACGAAAAGGCAGAAAGGCGATAAAATTCTATATCCCTTAATAGCATATCTAATGTTAGGTGATAAGTTATGATTCAAAACATTCCACACGATTAAAATAATTTTATCCACTCCTACTACCTGCGGGCCGCTGTCCTCTTTACAAAAGCTGTAACAACATCCCATACTTATAGTGAGATTGTTCAAATTTTTTCGCCAGTGACACGTATTGCTACAACGTAGTATTTTTATCGTTCATTCCTGTAAACAATCAAGTAAATCACTCGCAGACGTGCCGACACTACGCTTCCACCACTATCCATAAATAAAATGCACTACGAAGTGTGACAACCTTTTTAAACCAAATACGAAAATACCAACAAAAAATGGCAATAGCATGCAACGTCCCTAGCGGGATTTATAACGTACTAAACCGAATAACATAACCCTAAACATTTCTAAGATAAAGAACAGCGAAGTTTATCACATTACTGTGCACTGTTCATTTTATCTACTAAAATATAAGACTAATTTGGCTTTTTATTGTATAACAATATACAAAATTTATACAGTATTACACGTATTACGTTAATCAATGAAACAGCGTACAAAAATAGGGAAGGAAATGATTTTTCAAGATACTGTATAAATTATATTTATTAGAAATTTCTTTTTTA